TTCTTTCGTCTTCTGAAAGACAGTTGTGGTGTCCTCTAAAACTAATTTGGATGTATATCTTCTATTTGCAGACAATTCCATAGTGATGCAATGAAGTAACCTGTAGAGTCTCAGAGTGGTTGCTTTTATTTAAAACCAATTAGAAATGACCAGAAATAACAGCGCCTGGAGACAGAGAAGTCATTTTTCTTTGGGCCTCCCCAGAGAGTTGGCCTCTCCATGGATTAAGTGTTTTAGTATATTAGGGGGCAGCTGATTAGAATCATTGTGCTTTTTTAATCATTAAATTTTTGCATGTATAGTTTATAGCTGTATAATAGCTAATAAGTCTAAGTGTGTCACAGAAAAAGGGGCGGATTGTTTAAGTGACTTTGTGTATGAAAGTTTCAGAAAGACTGCCAAAGAGGAGCACTGAGGTTCTTGAATCAGCTAAACCACATTTTTTGACTTTTGATGAGACGAGCATTAATTTAAGAGCGACCTTGCATTATATCTTTATGCTTTTAACAGCGCTTTGTACTGTCTAACCCGCTATGTTAGTTTTTCCCCCTTTAATGCATTCATGGATTGCTGACTACCTAAATGAGTCACCTAGCCCACTGAATATTCTAATTTCCTCCAAGCCTGAATTTGTACCACTGTTGAATTTCTTAAAAGCACAGCTCCAAAGATCACGTTTCCTAAACGATTCGAGCCGCTCGTTGGAGCTTTGTGATGGCTAAGAAGAGCAACACATTAATTATTTCTAATTATTTTCTCTCAGGAATGTAGCAGCAATTTGTTAATTGGGCAGGTAGCAGCAGTCAAGAGATGGACCGCTGAACGCGACCACATCGATCATTCTTAAGATGTTCGTCTTACCCACCATTATTAACCAGCAACCTCAGGAGTAGCCTAAAATTAACAGTCCCATACAGCTGCCATCATTAAGACAATAAGCAAACGTTCCATTATGATCTGTGTTTTTCTATCTTCGAGGCCATATTAACTAATTAACTGTGGAGAGTGGATACTGCTAGCATTCCCAAGGCCTATGGTATTGACCCGTAATTCCAGTAGGTGTCTAGCCAGTCCCTCACTGGACCCTCACTGCCTCCTACTGCAATTGGGTCTGCAGCGGCGGCGCCGTCCTTGTGTGCGGCGGGCGTGCAGCAGCGGCATGTGGAGCAGGCAGCGGGAAGCGAGCCTCCCTGTCTCCCCAGACTGAACAGTGAATGAGGATAAGTGAGGAGCACCAGTCAATGAATCAAGCAGCAGGAAGGGAGCAGCCGGGGGGGGAGTGTGACGTCCCCACGGGAGAGGCCTCGCATTAGGAACTTCCTCGTCTGTGTGTTTCTGGCACAGGTTAAATGGATCGCTCCCATTAGCGCGCTGAGAGGACAGCTCCATTATATGAAGGAGACTGTAACTTTGAATGTCATGGTGCAACAACCCCAGAGCACGCCTCGTCTACCAGGGAGGCAGGGTGACAATAACCATCCATGATAATCATTCCCTGTCAGGCTTTAAGGAACCTGAAATTATGACGTACAGCCTGCCGTGTGCCTCAGACTTCATTACAGTGCTGTCACTTTGAGTCGCCTGCGATGGCACCGCACTCCACAGCCGGCTGCAGCGCTGTGACTGCCAAACCCCCGACTCACTCTCCTCCTGTTTAAGTGGCATGTTTACAGGATGTGTGCCCCCCTGCAGATAGATGTGGTGGAGGCTAACCTCCAGTCGTTTGCACGGTACCTCTCTTCCTCTATAGCATAGGCAGTGTCTCATGAGAACAAATGCTGAATTGTTTACCCAGGCAGGGGAAAATATGACTGATCAAAGGCAGCGAAGAGTGTCCCTCCTTCCACTGTGACAAATGTATAATTTAGAAATTGGAATTCAGCTACAAGTTCACACAGGCAACAGCCTTTTAACTTGAATTTCTATTAACGCTCATAAACGCGCACAGGAGATGTTTAGAAAAGAAAATCCACAAGCTATACGTCTGTTTATAGCAGCCTGTTTATCAGCCAAGGAGAGTTTCACCTCCAGACTGACCTCTGAACCTGCCATCCAGTGGAGAAGACAGGAGCTGGCAGGCATTGCCAATGTCAGTGCCCAGAGCTAACTCCTTCTTTCTCACCGCCTGACTCATTCATTGGCTTTGTGGCCCCTTCTCCTTGCCACCTCCAATCACAGGGTTTTGAATGACACATAGAGGAGGAAGTGGGCCCACTAACCTCCCCTCCTACTTCTTCTAACCTGCATAGCAACAGGAAGGATGAGCCTTTGTCTGTATGGTGATAGTTTTATATCAGCACCCTGGAAAATATTACCGTGGGAGTAGTTTTGTTATCATTAGGCGTGCTGCATTAAGTAGATGGGAGTAGCACAGTAGTTGGTTGGAGCCCTTATTATTTACAGTGCAAATAATACAAGCTCTGCTGTCTTACCAGTTTCTGTGTTTCTCTCACTTTACTTACATTTACAGGCACAATATGTCTTTGGCTTTTGTCATTTTCAGCACATCTGGCTTATTTACAGTAACAAACCTGATAGCGAGTAAGCTGTGAAATTGTTGTTGTTGTTTTTAACTGTTTCTAGGAAATGTTTGCGTGAGAACACACACCAAAAGCATGTTGTAAACATTTCTACCGACTGCATATTATCATCTGCTATCAGTAAAAGTTTCATAATAGGTTATCGTGTGTGGAAAAAAACGAGGCGACTGCAGGATGATTTAAATAATGCAGTTTTTCAAACACGCTGGAAATGCACTCGATAGGATTTTTTTTTTTGTTGTTCCAAGTGAGCACACAAAAATTTTGGTGATAAGCTAAACAAAATGGTTTACTTCTGAAAATACCCTAAAACCTTTTATGGCAAATTCCCCTTTTGCATGGAGTTGACTTAATGAAGCATTTATGTGGTAGGCACAAGAGTGAGAACTGCTCTGCACCGAGTTCATGACGGCTTCAGTGTATCAGCTAGGCAATGAAGCAACGTAAAAATGATCAGGCAGGCAGACTGCAGCGCTGAAAACTTGAGTTTTAGAAGCATACGTCCTCACGTGAATGGTTTCTTCTTGACTTTGACTGCGAAATAGTCAGTGACAGCAAAGCATCTACTCAACATTATCAGTGTGGTCTGTGTGGCTAAAGCTGGGTGAAAGCCTCCACATGTACTGTATGTACACACCCTCACACAAGCTGTTTCTTTCACTTCCTCTGTCACAAACATTTCACAAAGCAAAGGGTTGTTTACAACTTTAAGTTCTCCAGCCAGGCCACCACACTTTTGTTAACACTTCAGAAGATGACAGATGAAAGCTGGAGGCAGTTGTTTTAAATTCTCTGTAACTTTTTGCATATTCTGTATGTTTTATGCATTTTGTAGATATATCGTGCCCTTAAATCAAATAATATCTTATATGTGTCATTGACCACACTCCTCTTGAAAGCTGTGAAGTGTCTGTTTTATGCAGTAGCGTAGGCTCTGACAGAAAGCCACCCTATTTGCTCTTTCGGTTTCTGCTAAGCACAGCCACTGTGTTCCTTCGTAGGTTAACGAGTTGTCTTAACCATCAGCCAGTTAGCTGCTTGATACAGTCCTTTGCAGCTGCCTTGTGCATAAGCTGAAGCTTAGAACAGAAGCTTTGACACTGCTGGTTTTTAATGAACCATCAGGTCTCGCTGGCTCCCATGTCATCTGATTTTAGTGCAGAATTAAGACTCGAGTACTGTTTATTTTCTTCTTGCGTAATGTCACAGTTGGAGAGAACAGAAGCTTTTGGCCCTGAGCAATGGAACAATGCTAGCTCCATCACAGGCTGCTGGCCCCTAGGTGACGGCTTTCCCTCTTCCTGCTCAGTGGAGTTGATATCAGCTATGTGTTTCTCTGTGTATGTCTATAGGAGACCGAAGGGCTTATTTGTTTTCCCCCTCGTTGCACTTTGACTCGTTTCCCCTCAAACGTGTCTCAAACATTGTTATCTCTGGCCAGACGCCTTTTTTCACAGAGAGTTATTGAATCATGTCAACTTGCCGTCCCCCGAGTTTCAAATGCAAGCTGTAGAAAAATTAGCCATTGCTTCCGCATGACAAGTGGGATCTATTAGTGTGCTCTCGTCCTGCAAAGCATGAGCATCTTAGGGGCCGCAGGGGACCTCGGCTGGCTGTGTGCTTGTCCGCGTCAGGCTCCTGGGGCATTAGACCAATGTTGCAGACAGGAGAAGGAGCCAGAGCCAAAAAATTAAAAAAAATAAAAACCCCAAAGTGGCTCACTCAAGGAGCTGACACCTGAAGTGGTGAAGATGGGAAGTATAAGTTGCAGTTGCAGTACAGCCCAGGTTTGACTCAACCTGGTCAGACTGCCTGCTTCTTATAAGCCGTTTGTACCCACATTGGCACTGCTTATATCTGTTCTATAGTGTATCCAATCGTTTCTCTCTTTGATCATGTTACAGTTTTTAAAATGGAGACTCTGTCACACATTAAGAAGGGAGTTTTTGTGAGCCATCTCTTTGCCTCCTGAGCCGGTCAGACGAGCGAGGGCTTACAATTTATTTACAAAATAACTTCAAAAATCCCTTTTGTATTGAAACCGTTTAAATAAAGGATTAGCTAACATTAAGGTCAAAATGCCTTTATCTCCCTCAGGGCCAGTGGCTTAGTCATGCACTCGGACCCAGTCGGAGAGGAGACTCAACACATTAGCATTCCAAATGTTTTTTTTCCCTTTAGTTTGAAATTTTATTCACTGCCTGAAGAAAATGGGGTTTCAGCCACCTTGTCATAGATGTTGCTATAGAATGGCCCTAAGTTAAACACCAGCCTACACACATAATTACTCAGGGCCACCTAAGTGACCTTGGTCTGTTGCAATCTGTTGCAACACAGGGTTTCCTTCTTTGCTGCTGTTATCATATTATAAGTTATTAATAAGAGCCCCATGTGAATAGTTCATGTCATTTGTTTTTTTAAATATATTTTCTCATTTTTATTTGCTTTTTTTCTTCACAGGTATCTCAGTAACAAAGAAGACACATACTTGTAAGTACAATTTTTATTAATGTGGTTTTTATTCTACTACAATTTTAAGACGGTAAAAGTGATACTTAATTCAAAGAAGAATCCCATACTTAATGTGAAAAACAACAACAAACAACCCCTTGCCTCATGTATAGTGGAGATGGTGAGATCATTATGTTTGTGTCTATGTTGACTCTTTTTCATCATTGCCTATAAATGTGCTGTTGTCTGCCTACTACTGTCATAAATCAAGGCCTTCAATTAGATTTCTGTTCATCCACTTTCACTGTTTTGTATCTCTCCGTCTCCATACTGGAGAGAATATGATGATAACCCCAGAGAGGAAATTAAAATGCTATGCAGTCTTATGACTGCTTGGTAATCATGCACATTTGAAGCAGATAGTGTGGTGAAGCACCTCTTTGTTTTCTGCAAGGCCTTGCAGCTGAAAAACACGGATGTGGTGCAGCGTGGTGGTTTCTAACCTCTGAGGCTGCATTAACTACCAGACTTTGTGTTCTTCAAGTGCAGATCCTATCACTAAAATTGAAAGATACAGACACTGTATGTGACACATGTATCACATGCTAGATGCAAGGCTCCTTTTGTGCAATACAACGATAGTACACAGCCTTTTCTTACCACCGCTGCCTTTTCAATTTCGGTGCGCTTATGAAGAATTGATGAGCAGTCAAACCTGCAGAAATCAATGATTTCCAAGAGATTTGTACTGTATTTTGACACATGTGAAGTGCAATCGAGAAAGCATGTAAAAACGCTTTTGTGCGGTGTTCTGCAGTGTGTCTGTGCATGCGTGTACATCCATATGTGTGTTCATACCCCACTGTGTGAATGGAAGAAACTAGCCCTGAAGGCTATCCTTTCTCTCTGATCACTCTGATGAAACTTGTGGAGAGGGAAGGCCAGGGGGCTTTTCTGTAAGAGCGGTCGGAGTGTTTCAGATTGTGAGAGGCTGCATCTCCTCCTGTTAAACACCCCGGCTCTTTCTTACATCAGACAGCAGGGCAAAGGGATATGATCTTCAGTGCTAGACAGCTCTACCTTACTCAAACAGCCCCGTCAAAACAGCAGCATGGTTGTGTGTTAAGCTATTTGCTTGTCTGGAGGGGCTATGGTATTTTTTTTAATTAATTTATTTATTTTTTGATGCGTGTGTCAGTGTTCATGTTTGTGTCAGGATATCTTCAAGGTAGAACAGAAACGCTTTGACCCGCCATCCACCACCCCGCTATCTTAATTAGTGCGGCGCTAAGCACCTCTACACTGGAAGGGGGCTCAAATCAAAGAGCATGATTTAGGAGTCTTGGGTTCAAAGCCCTGGGCAGAGACTGGACTACGCTGTCTCATTTCAGTGAGAAATATTCAAATCTTATCCATGTGCGGAAATCAAAGTAAAGCCCCTTAACAAGTAGTTGATTGCTGTGCCTTACAGACAGGAAGCGGCTGTGGAGCCTCGTCAGAGCTGCGTGCACAAGAAGAAGTTCAAGGGCCAGTTAATGGTCATTGAGAATGCGGGCGGACGGTCTGAGAAGCCTGGTGATTATATGGCTGGTGGAGTAATAATGAGGGAGATGGCTCTGCCCTGCATGGTTATAGCCAAGATGTAGATCTATTTCTGTTCCCGGAGTGAAAACATTGGCTTCCCCAATACGCCAGTCCGCGCTGCCACGCGTAATGTGAGCTTGGCAGCCTTGATTTCATGTGCATATGTGTGCAAGTATGTTAGTTTCTGTGTGTGTGTTTAGGAGGTCTTCTCGGTCCAACCCGGACCACAGGGATGGGCTGTGTCTCTGACTAACTCCCCACTCTGCCTGAGTGATCAAACTGCTGGAAGCTCCCCGTCATGCCAGTCCCCTCATCAATATAAATTACAGGGGCAGCTGTTCACTGGCAGACTCCTCTCCTTTCCTCGCCTCTCCTCTCCTCTCGTCTCTTCTCCTCTCCTCTCCTCTCGAACCCCCTTCATCGCTAATCATTGAGCCATCAGAAAGTGAAGTATTCTAGATGAAAACAGATACTTATATCATTGTGTCATTGACTGTAATGTCCTCTCCCCATTCAGGACTTACATAGATTTATTGTCTGAGCCTCTTTATCTGTCTCCCCCTTTCTTTCTTCATTTCCTCAAAGGGGCTGTCCCTCGCCATCACTTCTTCTTACAACAAAGCTTCAGTTCTGAGCAAGAAGTCAGCTGTGGTTTTCCTGCACCTTTCCCTGGCAGTTTTACATCTGTTTTATGGACTCTCTGAGTAGCAGTTGATTTACGCACTTGTGACAAATTAAAGGAAAACCCCGAACGCGTAACGTCTGATTCAACAGCGCTTTTGTATGCTGTTGGGGGATTTTGCTGGCTCCACTTGTCCTTGCTATAACCCCCCAGCACATTTCTTGTTGGTTTTTCCCTTTCATTTCTCCTTCCATCTTTATGTCTCAAACTGCCCATGTCAGGAAGAGGTGACAGTAAAAGATAATTAAATTTTGCACTTTTTCCCCCTCTTGCGTTGATGTTGGACACCAGATATGTCTCTTCACCTTCTTCTACCTCAGCGGGGCTGTTTTGCTGTGAGATGACTTTCTGTTTGGACCTGTTGAGAGAGATGGTGTGGAGCGGAGGCTCAGATGCAATAGCTGATTACACTGAGATTAGGCGTCTCACCTCTAATCTACCATCAGCAGTCTGGGTCTCACAGCTCGAATAGCAGAGCACTAGCTAACACATACACACGCAGGTCTTGTGGACAGGATGCTCTTGCTTGAACAGAGCAGATCTCATGATTACTTAGAGCTAATCCTCCCTGTCTTTCTCACTTGCAGCTATAGATTTACAGTATACTGATTGTTTGATGACTGTTCAGACCATAATTCGCAGCAAGACAAAGATCTGCAAATCCACTTGTAGTTGCACAGCTTTATCTATGAAAGCATAAATAGAACATCCATAACAATATAATAACACCCAAATATATCTAAATAACAGAACCATCAGACAGCCAGCACAGAAAATTTTTAAAAGTAGAAAACTCTTTGTATAGCTAATTTAGCTGAAAAATATATTATTCTTAATTAATCCTGTCATGGTATTGTGATATATTTATCAGTGTTTACATTATTATACCAGTGTCAGTGTGTAGCAGTCTATGTGTAATATATCTGACTGGGAATAGACTTACCAGAGGGAGGCAGTAGTACAAATGTAACCCGGGGAAAGGAGAAAAAGAGACAGACGATTTCCTTTCATCGGTCCACAGATACATTTTGGAGAGCCCCGCGTTTCTTTTCCCCCCTCACCCTATATTTATCTCCATTGTGTTGGTAGACTTCTCGCACTGATTGAGAAACATGGCCTCGCTCATGAATCATCATTTATTTACTAGCAGCTTTTATTGAGTTTCTCTCGTCAGCGATGTGCATTCACATACTAATAGTACGGCTAATCTGTTCCAAAAGAAACCCGATGATTCAGACTCTTCTGCGCTGCTTTCAGTTCCGAGTTACAGAGAAATTATATCGCCCATTGATGCGCTCTCAAAGTTATAAGAGTCTGTAGACTTCATGTCTTTGTTTTGTGTGTGGGGTTTTTTTTCTTTTTCTTTTTACAGAACACTCTTAAAAGTTGACTGATACATGTTTTTTAAAAATATGCTAACAGCCTTATTAATCCCAATAATGCAGTCTGTCTTCACATAACACAATGACAGTTTTCCCCTTGTGAAGAATCTACTTTATTAAAAAAAAATGCCATGGCAGATCCGGCTTGGATGTCTGAGTTGTAGAATGTTAATGCACTGGCTCTGTGAGTCGAGGTATTTTCAGCTAATCAAACATGAGATTTATGGTACTTAATAGTGCTGTACATTGCCAATTTAGGAGAATAATATGTCCCAGTTGCTGTCTAATTTTGCTTGGCAACAGGCGCACTCCTGTGGAATCGCCCAGGGCAGTGTGAGTTGTCTCTGCATAGCTCAGTGTTCCATGCTCAGTGGTTGTTTGAAGGTATTTCATCACATTGTTGCCTTGATTCAGCTCTGTGGGGATTTGTTAGTTGCACTCATGTGGGAAGTGCATCCAGTACATTGTTAAGCTAGGGCTGATAATGAAGATCAGCCAGCCAGAGTCCCCTGAGCTAAGCGGAGAGAGATAGTCTAGTGAGACGCGCTGCTACAGACATAGTGGAGCAGGACGAGCGCACGCAGCAATACGTACAGACACAAAGGATTCATCAGCACAAAAACATACAACACCGAACCGCGCTGTACTGTGGTGCACTGAAAAACACAATGCAGTACAGAGTATTGCATAGGTAGATTATGAAATCCATTATAATCTGTTCTTCTTACCGGCCATTTTCCTGAATTTGTTAAATTGGCATTATGATGTTTAAACATTAGTTGAGCAATAACGCAGTCATTTTAATGTTGTGGGGGGTTTTTTGGGTTTTTTTGTTGGATGTGAAATTGACAATAAAAAGGGCCTCACAACACACCGCCTCTATTTCACTGGAAAGTTATTTGATTCTCAGCATGGTACTAGAACTGGTTGTTTCCTCTTCTCCCACAGCAACATTGAATGCTTAAATTGACACAATATTTTTCTCTCTCTGTGTACTGTAGGTTATGTTTTCGTCTTACTCTATTTGTTTGTTCCACAAAGGGAGTATTTTCTTTTTGGACATTTTGGTTTAATCTATAATAGATGGCTTTTTTTTTCTGAAATAGGTCAGTGTAATCACAACAGTGAGGGATGGACAGTCACTGTAACAGGGAAATCAATAGAGCTATCTATTTGTCGTAAACCAGGCCAACATGATTTTTCTCTATTTTTTCCCTCCTGCCTTGTCTTTTCCTCTCCAACTCAATATGGCAGGTCCTCATTTTTCAGTAAAAGCATTACGTCTGCCATTTTGTAAAATTGCAAATGGCCTTTTGTGCGTGCACTTTCTTTGCATAAGTTTCTGGATGTAAAGTCTCTTCGTCTTATCACCTCCGAGGGGCCCTGCTTGT